TATATTTATTTATTTATTTATTGATTTTTATTTATTTACTTATTTATGCATATATACATATATACACATACATAGAGACAGGGCGAGACAGCAACGAGAAATAGTGGGCCCCAATGGCCAACGAAGAACGAGACACCAGAGGGTGTCGTTGTTTTTGCTGGTTGCACTACAGTACAACTCCTCATGGGGAGGGGGTGCAACACTCCCCCACCCCCCCCAGACCTGCAGAAAGACATGAGCACACGTATAACGACGGATGCATGGACAGGTTAGCCAGGCAGATGTAGCAGAATTTGATAGTTGTGGAAGGTGAACTATCCTAAACCCTAAACCCTAAACCCTAAAGGTGAACTATCAGCTTTGTTCACACTCGAGAGGCCTCGTGGGCCCCCATGCTTCTCAAGAGCAGCTGGAAAACCAGTTGCAGCGCTTCTCCAATGACCCTAGAAAGGCTGCAAATGGCTGTCTGGCTGCAACAGGGTTTGGCACTAGGGGGCTTGAAGTCGCTTGCTTCGACATTTACCAAAGAGTTGGGTAATTTTGGCTTTGCCTGTGAGAATGAGCTCAAGAAGAGGTTACTTTCGCTCAGCGTGTTCGGTCGAGCTCCCGTTTGACTTCGAGCCCAGACCCCTGCAGCTGGGCTGCATTCACGGCCAGCATATCCTTAAGGTGTTTAACTTAAGTTACCATACTACAGAAACCATATCATGTACTATAGATCCCTATTATGGTAAGTTACATTAAGAATCCTTAAGTTGGAAATCTTCTCTGAAGCCGTAACTCGGCTCTCGTCAAGTCAGGCCTCGACCTCGATCCTCGCGCACTGCGACAAGGCAGAAAGCCGGAGGAATTCCCACGGGAAGTGCGTGGCATGAGCTGGATTCCCCGTTCTTTCCGGCTTCTTGGCTGCACCAAGAGGAAGTGTACCATTTGGGAGTTTCCGAAAATAGGGGGTCCTTATTTTGGGGTCCTTGTAATAGGGATCCTATTATTTAGGGCACCTGAATTTGAGTGAAGCCAAGGCAGCAACGTTCCTGGAGGTGGTAGACTGCAGGGCACTGCTGGCCGTCTCAAGGGAGCTCCATCTGCGGCTGGCACGGGACGACGACTTATGGATCAGGGCTTTCGAGACGCCAGGCTGCAGGTTCCAGGGTGCCCGCAGCCGTGAAGTTCCGGATGTGAGCCAGGACATTTAGAAAATTTAGACAGTTGCATTCATCTTGAAGCTGAGGAGCGTGTTCGGTGAGGTGCAGATTTCAACTTGTTGCGCTGTATCGGCTTATGCCTTCTTGAGTTTCCTGTGGACCCCGAATTTGTCACACGTGAATCACCTCAGGCGCACCAACCGGATGCCTTGGGCGCAGAAGCGGAAGCCTGCTCGCGAAGTGGATACGCATCAGGCGGATGCACGCTGAAGACGTCATGCTCTGTGCGCTCCTGTTGTTGTCACTTCTGCTGTGGCTGACTGCGCTGCGGGCCTTGTGCAGCCGACAGGCTTTATGCCGATTGAGTCGATTCAGTCCAAGCCTTTCGACAAGTTCAAGCACAGATGGCGCCAGGACACCGTCAAGCACAGAAAAGGCTTGCAAACCATGGTAAGTCAATGCAGGAGAGGGTACCTGACTCGGAACTGCCCCCTCTGGAAAGGAGTTGGCCAGAATTTGTCCGAATTGCCGGCGGCTCTGTATCACAGCTCGTGGGACGTTCAAGTTTAACACAGCCGGAGCAACGCATGTGAGCTGCAGGCGGCTCAGCAAAAGCTATTGTACCAATCGTCTACGGCTTCCCGAGCGAGCCGCTCACGGCCCATTATCGCCGAGGAAGCTTCGCAACGTTATCTAAAAGTAGTAGTAATGGAAATACTGACAGGCGGTGGCACAATCCGATGTTGAGAAGAAGTGTTGATTGTAGCCACTTGAGATGATGCTCTTCAGTGGAGTGGAACTGCTACGGACAGTGGACACCTGAAGCATTCCGTGCTTGCTGCAGGATCCCTGGTTCTCACAGAGGCTGGGATTAGCTGGAAATTCCGAGAGAACTCGTCCAGAAAGTCACAGAAACACATCTCTCGGAAAGGTCTGTGGCTTCTTGGGTCCTTGCTGGGCATGCCGGCGATGTCATTACGAGTTTGAGCGCTATCCGTACTCAAGCTCAGTGCCGGCCGCAGAGAAGGCTGCTGGCTTGCAAGTGCCAAAGTGGGAGTTTCCGAAAATAGGGGGTACCTTATTTTGGGGTCCTTATAATAAGGATCCTACTATTTAGGTTATTATATTTTCTGAAACCCCCAAGTGGACCGAGAAGCTGTTTCCTTTGGCAAACAACATGAACTGAGGCTCGCAAGTACCCATTCTTGCGAGTGCCCTGCTGGTGTGGCTTGGTAGGGACTCTTGAAGGAGACAAAGGAAAAGACAGTTGTGCACGGCCAGGTATGTTTGGCGGCCGACGAAAATATCGACGAGAATGACGTGGAGGAGAACGAAGACTAATTCCAAGAATGCTGCATCCTGCGTGACAAAAAGCGGCAACAACCGAGGGGTTCATCACAGCTCAGGGTGGATCTTCTTCCTCGAAACCATTCGACTCAGCATGACTCAAGGTCACCACAGCTGCACATGCGGCCAGTGCCCCGCTCGCAATCTCCATTTTCGCGTTACTGCTGGCTCGCTTGCATTGCTGGAATCTCTGGAAGGAGCTCGAATTGAAAAGCTTCTCGCTTGGATGCTCTGGGTTGTTGCTGGTGCTGCCAGCGTGAAGCATATAGATCAGCGCCAGGCGCGAAGCCACTCTCCGCGCTGCCACCCGTGCAGCCGAGCGGCAGCAAACGCCAGAGGAGGCGTTCCAGCAGCCAAACCAGTGGCATTTTGAGATTCTGGAACATGTCGGTCGGAGATTCTGTCCGTCATAACATGTTTCCGCCAGGTGGCGAGACTGAGCCTCGCGACATTGACAGGCCAGGAAGTGTGAGAAACAATTTGCTTGACCCTTCTGTCTTCGCTGCTGCCCTTGCCCTGGACCGAGCATTTCGGTGCCACAGGAAGGGCCGTTTATTTCAGTTTCTGTGAACATGCTCATCAGTTGATGTCCTCTCCTTGCATGGGAGGTTCTGGATTGAAAGAAGGGCAGAAGCGGAGATATGCAAGCATGGCACTTGCCGCTCGGCTTGCAAGCAGGATTCCAAGACCAAGCCCATTCATATATATATATATATATATACAGATATTGCACAGTATAACACAACATACTGCAATGCAACGCAAGACAATACAGTACAATAGTGCAGTCCAATTCAATGTAATATGACATCACATAATGTGACGTGATGTAATCAAACACCACATAATACAACCGAATATAATACAGTATACTATAGTGCAATAATTTGATACAATGCAACATGAAATAACATAACATTGTGCCGCGAATCTGCAACCACCAGTGAGACTGGTCATCTTGCTTACCTTGCTCTCTTGGAAGTCTTGGTCATCTTGCTCGTCACCCTGCTCATCTTGGTCATCTTGGGGGTCAAGAATATCAGTCATCTTGGTCATCTTGGCCCACGCGTTTGCCGACCTGGATGACCGGCATTCTTGCACAGGTTAGTGGTTCCAGTTTCCCGGCACACTGGAGTATTAATATCATACATTATAATGTAGTAGTATATCAATATATAACATATAACATATAATACAACATACACAATAACATACGTAATATCATATACTGTTATACTATAATCAGTATACATACATACATACATACATACATACATACATACATGTATACATACATACATACATATATATATATATATATATATATGTATTTTCTGGAGCAGGTAGACACCTTCGGCAAGATTGCCCTGGATGGTGGTGGGAGAGTCTTGGCAGAAAGAGAAAGCCGGACCCTGAGAACCTGAAAGAGACTCAGACGAGGCACAGCCCCCATGGACTTGGTCAAAGAGCTTTTGAGAGCACTTCGGACTCTGGGGGTTCATGAGCAAGAAGCGGCCAAGACCTCAGAGATTTGCTCTGTGACAGAGACGAACCGCCGGCCCTGGTCGAAAGCCAAGTGCCCAGTAGACTTCTGTAGATGCACGGATGGCTGCATGACTACTCGGCCGGCCCAGGCGGGCTCCTTGGCAGCAAGCATGCATTTCCAGCCTGCTCAATGATCATTGCTTCTAGTTTTGGGCAGGCATGACACTTTCGGCATGCGTGGTTCCTTCAAAGTGCACGGTCTGGCCACTGGACACCCCTGAGTCTTTTGGAAGGCTTCTTCAGACCTGGTGCACTTCGAAGACAACGCTGAGGACAGGGGACGAGTTGCGGACCAGAGCTGCAGCCAGCTGTCATCGTTTATTGGGTTTTTCTGATGCCTGACTCTTGCATTTGCACCCGCCCTAATTTGGTGTGTTTGTTCAGTTGGCTGATCAGCAGCGATATAGGCATCAGAGCCGTTCAGAGCCATGTCCACTTCTTCCTTCATCTCGCATACGACGGAGGCCGCTGGGTGCCTTGAGCAGCTAGTCGATTAGCGTCAGTTTTGCACACTTCTACAATAAGTGTGTACAACTGTATTTATATATGCTATGTACGCATGAATGTATGTATGTATGTATGTATGTATGTACATACATACAAGTTGCTCGTTGCTTGGTTCCTACTCCGGTGGAGGCCGATGGTGCCATTCACATCATCACCCTGAATCGCCCTGAAGCTCAGAATGCCTTGACCATGGACATGCTGAACGACATAGCCTCCGTGTTTCTCAGCCTTCGAAGCGACAGCAAGGTTCGAGCTGTCATACTCACAGGCTCCGGCCAGAAGGCTTTCTCTGCAGGCATTGATCTGATGAAGGCAGATGGGATCTTCACCGGCTACTTTCCGACCCCGAAGGAACAGGATCCGCGAGTTCAGATCGAGACCTTTCCCTGGCCAGTGATCTGCGCCGTGAATGGCTTTGCGATAACAGGAGGTTTTGAACTGGCACTGGCTTGCGACATCCTGATAGCAAGTGAAAATGCAAGCTTTGCAGATACCCACGCCAAATTCGGCATTGCTCCAGCCTGGGGCTTGAGCCAGAAGCTGACGCGAGTCATGGGGCCCAGCAGAGCTAAAGAGCTGCACTTCACTGGTCGGTTCCTCAAAGCCCAGGAGGCCGTTTCCTGGGGACTGGTGAACTCTGTAGTTCCCGCAGACAAGCTGATGCCGCACTGCCTGGCCCTAGCAACCGAGATGACGAAGATGAACCCCAACATGCTTCAGATGCTGAAGCGGACCATCGATGATGGGTATGGCATGAGCTTCAAAGATGGTTGTGCAAACGAGCAAGAAGTGGCCTTCAAGTATTACAAAGCCATGGGAAAAGAGCTCTTTGATAGGATGAAGAAGTTCATCATGTCCAGAAGCAAAGAGGGGCAATCAAAGCTTTAAGGGGCTGTGAGCTTAACTTACTCCGGCGTATGCGGCTCTCATCGAGCTGGAAACGTTAGAAGGGCTTAGATATACCCCCCCATGTGTCACTGCCACCGCCAGTTCTTGGGTTGCAGGTTCGGGCCTGCGAGTGCTTTGCCTCTGCACGTTCACTCCCAAGATGCTTCTGTGGGAATTCGGAAGATGGATGCTCAACAAGTAGAGGCACGGGGTCTGTAGCGAACAGCCCGTGCTTGCATGCGAACAATGTCCCCGACAATGCTCGCAGACGCGGTGAAAAAGTACAACTAGACTGTAAGTGACATGTGGTTGCCCGGACGCTGGTGGACTGGCCCTGCTGCATGATTGCTGGAAGGACAGCATGCCTCCTCCTCTTTGCTGTGGACTTCAGAGTGAGCGGCCGTCATGTTGTCGATTTCAAGATGCAATCCCAGAGCCACGGTGAAGTTTTGCACACGTATTCTGTATACGTGATTTGATTATGAGCTAGTTGACGTTTCGTCTGTCTGCTGGCAAAGGCCACAGGGCTCGCATGCCAACTGCTGCTGGCATGAGATGGAGAAAGGTCTTCGTGTCTTCAAGGGGCCCTTGCAACTGCCCATAAGACGATGGCAAGATCATGGCTCCACAGTAACTTGCAGCTGTCTTGTCTTGGAAACGCTGCAAGGCTCGCGAAGCAGCACGTGCTGCAGCTTTGTGTGCTGTGAAGGTGCCAAGGGTTGCATTCGCACCAGCTTGGGAGGGGGAATATTGACTCAGGACTAGAAGCTTTCAAGGCACAAGCACTATTCCGAAGCCACCTGGCCAAGCTGGCAGGTCGCCATTGCTGGGAACGAGCCCCACGCTTACCGTCGCTTGCGCTCCAACGTGAGCTTGCCAGGTCTGAGTGGGCACGCCATTCGGACAAAAGCCAACAAGTAAAATACCTGTGCACGGCCTTTGTACTGCAGGTCTCCAGAGCAGGCCGGCGCCGACGTGAATGCAAAGCTGTGACCAGGGTGATAATTAGGGGTAGGGCCGTGATCGTGGCAGTGGCCAGAACTGGAATACAACGCGGTCAAGACACTTGACCCTGACTTGTATTGTTGAGTCATTGCATGAGGTGGGTCGTTTTGCCACCATGGCAGCGCAGTCGTCTGGAGTCGAGGCTCCACTGCGAACTGCTTCTCAACATCTCTTAAGTCAAGATCCCGCGCGCAGCCTCCCACGTGCTGTTGCCATGTTGATCTGCCAGAGACTACATGAAGAGGTGGTGGAAGCCACGCGCCTTGCGGCGGAAGCAGCCCGTAGCCTGGAGATTGCACCTCAGGCAGATGGTGTAAGTAGGAAACTTTCCTGAGGTTTCGCGAGCAGCTTCGGAGTCTTACGAGCTATCCACCGAACAGAGTACGCGGCAAGTCGCGATGGTCAAGGCCTCGCCGTGGCAATGTGCACATTCGAAAGGATGTCATTCCTGGACGAGGGCACGCGGTTTCTCTACGTGCCATCTTAAGGCTTGAATGCCCCAGTGCAGTCAGATAGTTCTGGGGTTCTAGAGCACAAGAAGGATCCAATGTGTCGCTCCAAAGCCGTCGACGAATTGGCACATGCCCTGTACACTAGCAGCCTTTGCGATACTTCTGCCAATTCCAACCTCAAGTGATTCGGCCGAAGGAACGACTCTAACTTCGCAGCTCGCTTGCCGGGCTGTGCTCGATTGCTCGCATAGAAGGATTGTCGGGCCTGTTGCTTTCCAAAGCCCTACCAGTGAGGAGATGTAAGCCTCGAACCATTGCACGCCGACACGGTCTCCAAACATCGGAGAGATTCACAGAAGAATCGCTCCTAACGCAGAGCAAGGTGCTGCGCGAGCTCCGGGTTCGTGACAGGATTTGTGCTCTAACCATTAGTCCTGACATTTAGGTTCGACCACTAGCCATGACTGTTTGCACCGGTTTTCGCAACATCGAATTGGCAGGATGAGAAGAAAATGAGGTGCAAGCTTACCCATCATTTCCATCGCTCAACACGTAATGAGGCAGCGGATGGTTACAACGTCTCTCACCAACTCGCTGTCGGCATTGTTTGCCGCTGTGTTGCACACTTTGCTCGTGACATTGTATGGCTGCGGGAGCGTCCCACCGCTGAAATGGGCGTATCTCGATGTATGCACGATCCTTCGAGTCGTTTATTATGCTGCCTTGCGAGCTGTCTGCTTCTGTTCGTGGATAAGTCCAAAGTAGAAGGAAGGACACAGCTTCATATGAATCTCGTGACTGCCAGGCAGCGGCCCTGGCGACCCGAGTGCCAACTCCCAAGCACATCATGAGCTGTATCTCGCCACCTTTCGACATTGACAGACACAAGTTCCAATGTTTCATGCGCACATGGCACATACAGCATCACAAAGCATAATGTCCCCTTGCTTGCCCAAACGCACCTTTGCAAGCCCATAGCGCATACATCCACAGATACATAGTATACTTACGTGCGCAAGCACAAGTATGGAGTACACTTGAAGGTTTGCTTGCATGTTCGTGTTTGTGTGTATACATGACCACTTCTGCTACTGCCACTGCTGCTGCTACTGCTGCTGCTATTATTACTACTACTACTACTACTACTACTACTGCTACTACTACTACTACTACTACTACCACTACCACCTACCACTACCACTACTACTACTACTACTACTACTACTACTACTCCTACTACTACTACTACTACTACTACTACTATACTACTGCACTATTACTGTACAATTAAGGTACTACTACTGTACAAGTTTAGTAGACCTCAGCCTCGGTCGATTGTGGCGGGAAGTGTAGGATGACACCCCTTCAACGCGAAAACTTTTGAGTCTTAGTAGATATCTTGGCATGAGCGAGACCTAAATTGCGAGATTTTGGGACGTCCTAAATCTTCTTGTGGTATTGTTGTTGTACCACTACGGTACTACTACTATGCCTGCAATATGTTGCTGTATTATAACTGAATTATTGCGGGACTCTTAATTTACTACTCTACTATACTACTTCTCCACTGCTGCTGATCAAC